GTAAGACCCAGAGAATATCTGCCCTCAAGTGTTTTTCCACCACCTGTTCTGGGGTGGCTTTTGTGCTTTAATGATACCCTGTGTCATTGGCAATTCAGTTATCAGCTGGATCATACCTGGTGGAGAGGTTGCAGACCAAAAGCAGACTAGGAAGAAAGGCCTGGTGATCTACTTGTGAAAATCAGCTAAAGGTTTTCTGGAGAAGACCCCCGCAGGTGACAAGGGCATGCTGTCCCTCTGACCTGAGACGGGGGCTTCCTTCCGTTGTATGTGGGGTCACCGAGTGTCTGTCAACTCCACGGCAGCTGAGTGTGTCTCTCCATGGCAGGGCTGGCCTGCAAAGAGAGCAAGCTGCTCAGGACCAAATCTTGGACTCATTTAGGGATCAGGCCGCCCAGTATTGTGCCCTGGTGGGCCTGACCCACCAGAAGCACGGAGGTGCCCGTCCAGCTCTGAGCTGCCAGAGTCCGCTGGCGTGCGGTTTCCTGTGCCCCCTCACTGAGGGTCCCTGCCCGGCAGACATCTGTGTTGGAGGGACTTCTAGGGTCGGTGTGGTGACACTCCACATTGAATCAGGACCTCGCTAGTCAGAGCGTGCACCACAGATGTCGCTGGCAGGGGAGCCACTGAGAATGAAGCAGCCGAAGCGTGTGAAAGGATGTTGATCCGGTTCAGCCACTCATTTTACAGGTGCGGAATCTGGTCTGAGGTATGAATGGGCTCGCCTGCTCCCTAGGGCGTGCCCCTCTAACAAAGTGGTTCTCAACCTCCCTAATGCTGTGGCCCTTTCATACAGTTCCTCATGCGGTGGTGACCCACCCCCCAACCGTAAAATTATTTTCATTGCTACTTCATCACTGTCGTTTTGCTACTATTATAAATCAGGCAACCCCTGTGAAAGGGTCGTTTAAACCCGCAAAGGGGTCGTGACCCAGAGGTTGAGAACCAATGCTCTAAACAGCACCCTGGGCAGCTGATTCCTTTCTACTGGATATCTGGGCTCTTTGCACCTTGACAGCGGGGAGGCTGCCCACCCCGAACCATACTCCTTTACCCAGTTTAAGGTCAGCATTTCAAAACCCCCAGCTCTCCTCTGGAGACAGACGGGGCTCTTTACTCCCTTCAAGAGTTACAGTCTCAGAAACTCACAGGGCAGTTCTAGCCAGTGCAATAGAGTCACTATGAGTCCGTATCGACTCAGTGGCAGTGAGCTTGGTTTTTGGGCTTTCACCCAGTTATGTGTGCCGAGGGATGCAAATTACCCTCCCTTTTCAGGCTCTCTCTGCCTAGAGCTTTCAGCAAAGTGCCAGCCAGCTCCTTGAGAAACGGGAATGGGAGGCCTGAGAATATCAGTTAGAATTTAGGGGTCACCTTTAATTCATGGTCTCTTCCCTAAAGTGACCCCCCTCCACACACACACGTACCACAACCCAAAGCACCAAACCAGTAGACATTGTGCCAATTCAGACTCCTGGCACCCCTGACATGTTCCGGAGCAGCGCAGCTCCACAGGGGGCTCTGGGCTGTCACTTCGACAGAAACAGCTTACCTGGGTGAGTTCTACCACCAACCTTTGGGTTCCTGGTGTTAGCTCCTGTTGAGTCATTTCCAAGTCCTGGTGCCTAACATACCTGCAGAGTCTAACTCTTCTATAGAATGACCAAGAATGAGACCTTTCAGAAGCCCATCATGAGCATTGTCCTCTCAGGTGCCTTTTGAGGAGGTAAACCAAAACTAAAAACAAAGCGCAAGCTGCCTGCCATCCAGTGAGTCCCAACACATAGATACAGACCCTACACCTACATAGGGTTTTCAAGGCTCTACATCAGTGGTTCTTAACCTTCTTAAAGCCTCGACCCTTTTATACAGTTCCTCATGTTGTGGGGACCCCCAACCATCAAATTATTTTTGTTGCTACTTCATCACTGTCATTTTGCTACTCTTATGAATCAGGCAACCCCTGTGAAAGGGTCGTTTGACCCGCAAAGGGGTTGTGACCCACAGGTTGAGAACCGCTGCTCTAAATCTTTACAGCAGCAGATAACTTCATCTTTCTCCAGAGTAACTGGCCGGTGGGCTTGAACCACTGACCTTGTGTTTACAGTCTAATACTTACTTAGCTGAGTACAAACTGTTGGCACCACCCCGGAACCTAGAAGACGGATATTTCTTGGAAAGGAAGCTATTTCTGTCTTTATACGTCTTAAACCTGATCTTTCTTTAAAAGACCCCAAGAAAAATGAGCCCTATGGACCCCTTAAAATGATGAAAAATGTATCTAGCACTAAAGCCCCTGCAGCGAAAGTACTGCATAAATAGAAATAAAAGAGGCTCATTCACTTAAAAAGCTATACTGTTCGGGATCTCGGGCAGCTTTGTGGTTTGAGGTGATACGCAGCAGTTCTCCTGGCAACTCGTGATGCCAGCCACTAGTTCTGGCCCCGACAGCCATTTGCTCCTATGCATGTGTGACTCGTAGCACACAGATACAAGCAGGCTCATGAATAGAGGCCTAGGAGTTTGCTTTTTTAAAAACAACAGGTGCAGTATAGCACCGATGAAACACGCATCATTTCTTTAGTTCTGGAAGGCTTCCTTCTCCCACTACCAGGACCCAGTCTACCTTGCAAATCTGGCTGGACCAGAGAACATTGGTACAGACCCGAGCTCTCGGCACATGGCATTCAGGATAGATAACCCCCTCAGGAACAGGAGTGGGAGTAGTGATGGCATAGGAGGGAGGGGGAGAAAGGGGGAACCCATCACAAGGTTGGCTATATAGCACCCCCCGAGGGGATGATTAACAGAAATGTGGGTGAAGGGAGACAACGGACAGTGTAAGATACGAAATAATAATAACAATATATAATTGATCAAGGATTCAGGAGGGTGGGAAGGTGGGGGAGGGAGGGGAATAAAGAGGAACCTTTTTTTTTAAATCATTTTATTAGGGGCTCATACGACTCTTATCACAATCCATACATACATCAATTGTGTAAAGCACATTTGTACATTCATTGCCCCCGTCATTCTCAAAACATTTGCTCTCCACTTAAGCCCCCGGCATCAGGTCCTCATTTTTCCCCCTCCCTCCCCGCCCCACTTCCTCATGAGCCCTTGATAATTTATAAATTATTATTTTGTCATATCTTGCCCTGTCCGATGTCTCCCTTCACCCCCTTTTCTGTTGTCCGTCCCCCAGGGAGGAGGTCACATATAGATCCTTGTAATCGGTTCCCTCTTTCCAACCCACTCTCCCTCTACCCTCCCAGTATTGCCACTCGCACCACTGGTCCTGAAGGAATCATCCGCCAAGAGGAGCTTATACCAAGGGCTCAAGTAGAAAATGTTTTGGAAATGATGATGGCAACATATGTACAGATACGCTTGATACAATTGATGCATGGAGTGTTATAAGAGCTGTAAGAGACCCCCCCCCCCCAATGATTTTAAAAAAAAAAAGGGGGGGAAAGTCTACTATAAAAATAAGTCCAGATTTCATTGGCTATGCAATTTCTAGCACACGCTTAGTTTATTCTTCAATTCAGTAAATATTGATTGAGCCTCTGCTGTTTGCCAGACACTGTTTATAGGTCAGTGAGTACAATAGAGACACTGCTGCAGCGGAGGTCACACTAGTAGCTGTGGACTGAGCAAAGTAAGTGCAGTCAGCGAGGCAGGGCTGTGGGAGCATGCTGTGAAGGCCCTGTGTCTTGGAAGGATAGGTGGAAGGGGCAGGCTTCTTGGGTTGATTGAGTTTAGAGGAGAGTTTTCTCTGAAGACACAGCATTGAAATAAGACCCTGTAAAAATGGTGTGGTGGGAGGCGGGGCGGGGCATTTGCCCGCCTCCAACCTCACAGTTGGGGAGGAGAATCAAGATCAACAGCCCAAAGTCAATTCCTATGAAGCAGAGGTCAGACACACCTATTTCCGGAGCTTTTTACCAAACTCTGATACCCGTGGTCCTGCCCACAGCACTCTACT